CTCTTTATTCTGTAATAACTCAGTCTGAGCTGCTCTTTATTCTGTAAATAACTCAGTCTGAGCTGCTCTTTATTCTGTAAATAACTCAGTCTGAGCTGCTCTTTATTCTGTAATAACTCTTTATTCTGTAATAACTCAGTCTGAGCTGCTCTATATTCTTTACCCCTGTAGTTGGGGTTTAGGCCTGTCTGAATAAGACCTAATGGGCCACTCACAGGTGTATCCAGCAGGGCAGCAGGTGCTCCAGGTGGGGACCCCCCAGCTCCAGCAGCCCCCCCATCTCCTGCAGCAGGGCCCGGTTCTGCCTCCGGCCCGGTTCGTCCTCCTCCTCCCCCAGGAAGAGCAGCAGCAGGGCTTTCCCCAGAGAAAAAATGGAGGGCAGGCTGTCCACCGTCAGCTCAGGCTGCAAGGCAAGGCATTTTTATTTATATAGCGCAATTCATACCAAGCGGCAACTCAATGTGCTTTACATTAAGACAAGACATTTCAAATAAAAAAGAACAGCATAAAACAGCATAAAAACAAACAAACATTTTTTTTTTAAAAAGGTTAAAACACAGTTAAAAGCAGGAACAAAGGAAAAAGCAGGAATATGTTTGTTACAGCTCCAGTGCTTTTGCAAAACCAAGATTACAATGTTAAAAAGAACATATTAAAAAAATATTTAAAAAAGCTCGGCCATAAGCACATGAGAAGAGAAATGTTTTTAACCTGGATTTAAAAGTGCTTACAGTTGCAACACACATATACTCTCTAATATACTGTATATACTGTATATATACTCTCTAATATATAATATATATTCTCTAAAGGCTGGGTTAAATATGCAGGTTTGAACAGACAGGAGTCCGGAACAGGTGACCATGCAATGCTGGTATTTATTTTATGTTACTTGAATGTTTTGTTGACTGTTTTGTTGTTGTCTACAGACATCTTTTATGTTTTTCAACGAGAGTGTCTGGGGGACGATCTGCTAAAGCTTGTCCGTAAATATGGGCTTCTAGACAGAGTATGTAGTAACAAATTGAGCCTCTAGGGGGCAGTGCCACTTTTGATGGGAGATGAGCGTAGACTGTAGGCAAATAAGAAAAAGGGAACGGTTCGCTATGAGAGAACATGGCGCCGGTGAGACGCAAGTCCAGGAAGAACGGAATAAGGTAGAAACACATTTTTTTTTCCTGATGAAAGAAGAGAGTCTACTCTTTCTTTTGGTGTGTTCGGTGTTTACATAGTCATAGCACAAACTATTCTGTGGCTCTGGAAAAATCAGTCAAAATGCTAAAAAAACTGGCAGTATGGGACTCTGTTCTGAAAATGGCTGGCAGTCAATGAGTTAACCCTATAATGTGTCATATTTAATACATGTGATTTCTGGAATGTCTTGCATCTCAGGTGTTTTGTATCATTTAATGGTGAAAGCTTTGCTCAAAACCCTGTTTTACACAATCAGTTCTACCTGAAAACAGCAGGCAGAAGATTACAACACAATCATTTTGACTAACGACATCTTAGTAAATGATGAATATTAGGACATTAATGGTATTTTTTAAAATTTTGTTTGTTAAAGGGCCAAATAAGGATATAAAACAAAAATAAAAACTAGATTTTTTCTTGGATGAGCTTTAAAGGATTAAGGATTAATGTATCTCCCAAACTTAACTTCAAAACTGCCTGGTGGACATTTTATTTATGTATTTTTGGCTTTTCCATGTAAGTCTATCTTCCCCAGTTGTTATATGTAATTTACCTAACTTTGTATATTACACAGAAAAAATAATTAAGAATTTTTCTGCTTTTAGCCTTCAGTTCTACCTCAGTCCTGCTGAACCTCATCAGGAAACCCAAAAGCAGCCGAGTGAGACACCGATCTGATTCTTTTACAGCCAGAAGTTGTGTCTGTTGAACTAACTGTTAAAAGGAAGTTTTTCCTTGCCTGTGTCGCCTAGTGCTTGCTCATGGTGGGAATTGTTGGGTTTCTGTAGTTAACTTCAGAGTAGGGTCTGACCTGCTCTGTTTGGAAAGCTGTGAGACAACTGTTGTTGTGATGTGGCGCTATATAAATAAAATTGAATTGACTTGAATTCATTTTAATTTTGTAATGTCATTGTCTGAACGTGTGTTTGGACTGATTTTGTATTTTGTGATTTTGTGTTGTTTGGTCTTCCTGCCTCAGGACCACAGATGTAAACTAGCAACTATGCTATAATCTGGCTCATTTACAATCTGTATGAGATTGTTCATTAATGTGCACTGTCCTGATTAAATAAATAAATAAATAAATAATCTGTGTTTGGGAGGATCTAATAAGGAGGAATCAGAGGAGGAGTCCAGCCCAGACTCACCACCGGGGGCAGCAGGGCGGCCCGGATGTGGTCTAGCAGCTCCTTTAGGGAGGACCAGGGGGGCAGCGGGGTGGGGGGGGGCCCGCGCCCTCCAGGCCGGGAACACCAGCACAGCGGGGGGGTCCACAGCATGCTCTGCCGCCCTGTGAGACACACAAAACACACAAAAAAAAAAAAAAAAGTCACTTTTTGAGAGGATTCCAGGGCTCAGGCATCCAAACGGACCAATGGGAGCAGGGCGTGCCGCCCCATGTGACCCGGGAAGGAGAGGATACTGTGTGGGAACCATTCTGATGGGGGGATTCTTTGGAAAATCTGCTCAGAAAAATATGGAGCTTTGCTCTGATTCACTCCAGAAGCCCCGACAAAGTTTGGAGGTAGAGAAAAACACTCAGAAATATTCATAAATAACACATAAATACCCTAAATACAAAAGAAATTCTCAGAAATACCACAGAAATACTCATAAATAGCCTGAAATACTCAAAAATACTCAGAAATACCACAGAAATACGAATAAATTGCCTGAAATACTCAGAAATACCACAGAAATACTCACAGCCTGAAATACTCAGAAATACAAAAAAAAAACTAATAAATTGCCTGAAATACTCAGAAATACCACAAAAATACTAATAAATAGCCTAAAAAACTCAGAAATACTTAGAGGTACCACATAAATACACATAAATAGCCTGAAATACTCAGAAATACCATCAGAAATACTAATAAATAGCCTGAAGCATTCAGAAATACCACAAAAATACTATGAAATTGCCTGAGATACTCAGAAATACTCAGAAATAGCCTGTAAATTTCAGAAATACTCATAAATACTCATAAATTGGGATCTTCTTATGGCCCATACCATGTCTCTGCCAGTCCCTCCGTCAGCAGGCCGCTCAGGACTTCTCCTCTCAGAGACTTTGCTGCTTCTACAAACACGGAGAAACCTGGGAGGAGAAACACCAGCATCAGTTAAAAATTTAAAAGAGTTATAAGCTAAACTTTAGCCTTTACTCTCCTTTTAAATTTCAGCTTTTACTGGGATTACAAAGTACAGCACAAAGGGTTAAACGGCCTTCACTTCTGTTCTTTTCAAAGATATTAAACAAAGATGACTTTATGGGCCTGGACCCTCTTTAAATACTCGGGGGAACCCGGGGGAACCAGGACCAGAGGGTTCTGGGTTGGAGTCCCGGGGGAACCAGGACCAGAGGGTTCTGGGTTGGAGTCCCGGGGGAACCAGGGCCCTTCTGGGTGGTTCTGCATGTTCTCCTGTGTCTGTGGGTTCTCTCCGGGTTCTCCGGCTTCCTCCCACCGTCCAAAAACCTGCATGTTAGGTTGTTGGAGATTGGGGAAATTGCCCTTAGGAGTGAATGTGAATGTGAGTGTGAGTGGTTGTGTGTCTCTGTGTGTCCCTGTGATGGACTGGGGACCGTCCAGGGTGACCCCGCCTCTCCCTATTGACCACTGGGATAGGCTCCACCCCCCCCGACCCCATGAGGGAATAAGCGGTATTGATAATGGATAATGGGTCAGATCTGAGGAGCTGAAGCCCGTTTGGGCCTCCTACCCGGGTGTGTGCTGGTTGGGAACAGCCCCAGGACCCGGTCGGGTCTGTGTGCCACCAGCCCGGGGGGGGGGCACTTCCTGCAGGAATGATGTCACTTCCTGCTGGCTGGAGAGCAGCGCAGGGGCAGCTGCACGGCTCCTGGACAAGAGAAGAAGAAGAAATAGCAGAAGAAGAAAAGGGAGCCGTCCAGGAAGCTGTGATAGAAAAACTAAGTCCAAGTTTTTACTTTCCTTTCACAGTTTCAAGCTTTTTCCAGCTCAGGGTTGATGTTTTTGGTGTGATTTTTGCTCCAATGTGTAAATATTGTCTGTCGGATTGCAAATTTCACGGTTTTTAGGTGGAATTTTAAGGGAACACAGCAGAATGCGTTTCCTGTTTCATGTTAATGTGTTTAATAAAGATTTTTCTTTTCTTTTCACAGTTTCAAACTTTTTCCTAGATCAGGTTGGATGTTTTTTGTCTGATTTTTGCTCCAATTTCCCAGTTTTTAAGGTGGAATTGAATGTGTCAGACGCCTAAAGCTGCCTATGACCTTTAACCTTTGGATTCTTCCCCCCCTACCATGTCTGACCTTTGACCCGGAGCTCCTCAGACTGTAAACGGAGCTTAAGCTGGACTTTGGGGAGCAGTTTTGGGCTCCAGAACCGTTGGTCTTACATCAGGATGAAGCGGAGCAGGGCCTCACTACCCAGCATGCCTCGGTACAGCTGGGCCGGCTCCTGGGGGCGGAGCAGCAGGAGGCTGGGGAAGGCTGTGATTGGCTGGAAGGGCGCCCCTGTGCCTTGCTCGGCGGCACACAGGTCGGTCCACTCGCCACAGTCCACCGCGCCCATCAGGACGTCCTCCACCCCGGAATCTGGATAAAAAAAAACACCCGGTGACCCCCAGACCCCCAGAGGGAGAAAGACCACCCACAGACTGCCCTCAGTTCTGCTGGGGGGGGCTCCCATCATGCACCTCTGCTCCCTCTGGGGGGCTCCCATCATGCACCTCTGCTCCCTCCCATGATGCACCTCTCCTCCCTCCCATCATGCACCTCTCCTCCCTCCCATCATGCAAATCTCCCCGCTCTGGGCTCCCATCATGCACCTCTCCTCCCTCTCTTTTCTCTCATGTGACATTATTAACTAGCATCTGGCCCTGGTCCTGGTCCTGGTTCTGGTTCTGGTCCTGCTTCTAGCCCTGGTTATGGCCCTGATCCTGCTTCTGGCCCTGGTCCTGGTTCTGGTTATAGTCCTGGTCCTGGTCCTGGTCCTGGTCCTGGTCCTGGTCCTGGTCCTGGCACTGGTCCTGGTCCTGGCTCTGGTTCTGGCCCTGGCTCTATTTCTGGTCCTGGTCCTGGTCCTGGTCCTGGTCCTGGTCCTGGTCCTGGTTCTGGTCCTGGTTCTGGTCCTAGTCCTGGTCCTGGTCCTGCTATTGGCCCTGGTTCTTGCCCTGGTCCTGGCTCTCTTTCTGGTGCTGGCCCTGGTCCTGGCTCTATTTCTGGTTCTGGCCCTGGTCCTGGCTCTATTTCTGGACCTGGCCCTGGTTCTGACCCTGGCCCTGGTCCTGGTCCTGGCTCTATTTCTGGTCCTGGTCCTGGTCCTGGCTCTGACTGAACTCATCTGATTGGATTTTCGACATCTGTTGTGATTTTTCCTCGTTATAAACTAAGCTGAAATTACCCTTTTCCTCCTTTAATTGGAGCTATAAGGCTAACGGGGACTGAGTCCCTGACCCTGCTGAGCCTTAGTGAGTATACCTGAGAGTCTGTGGGCCACCTGGATGAAGGATCGGAGGGCGGCGGCCGACACGGCGTCCCCTGGTGGTGGAGAGAGGTATTACAGTTCAGTCAGCCTCTGCTCTGAGGCTCTGAGAGGCTCTGAGATTCCACTGAGCTGCTCACATCTCAGGTAGAACAGCGCCGCCGTGAGGCTGCTTTGTGCCACTGCGGCCCCGAGGCTGTCGGGGGTCAGGGGGGTCAGGAAGTCCAGGTCCAGGTCCAGAAGCCCGCCGCTCTCCCAAACAGACGCAGAGACCTCATCGTCCAGACTGCCTAAAAACACAACATTAGCCTGATGGATGCTTCTCTCTGGATCTAGTTCAGTTAGATCTGTTTAGTTATTTATCTACTTAGTTAGTTGTCAGACTCAGGGATTTACTCTGGACACAGACCTGTGGGTTACAGATGCTAATGCTAATGCTAGACTCATGTTGAACGGGGATTTACTCTGATAACAACTTAATGGTTAGGACACAGACCTGTGGGTTACAGATGCTAATACTAATGCTAATGCTAATGCTCGTGTGGGATCGGACTTTTAAAATAAAACTGGATCTGGAGTCTGGATCTATTTTCTCCTGCTAGCCGATAGATCCAGATATGGGATCGGGACCAGCCTCCTTTTAATTTTGTAATGTCATTGTCTGAACGTGTGTTTGGACTGATTTTGTATTTTGTGATTTTGTGTTGTTTGGTCTTCCTGCCTCAGGACCACAGATGTAAACTAGCAACTATGCTAGAATCTGGCTCATTTACAATCTGTATGAGATTGTTCATTAATGTGCACTGTCCTGATTAAAGAAATAAAATAAACTTTAAACTTTACCAGCGTGCGCCTCCTCCTGCTCCTGCTCCTCCTCCTGCTCCGGCTCCTCTGAGGAGGTGAGCAGCTCCAGTAGCTGCTCCGGGCTGTGCAGGGTCAGGTACCTCACCTCGGAGCTCTGGGGGGGGGGCAGGGTCAGAGGTCAGAGGTCAGGGTGAGAGGCCTCCA